GAGAAGCAAGTATTCAATCTCTATCTTATGCATTATACGGAAGCAAGTATAAAATCTCTAGCTTATGCATTATAAGGAAGCAAGTATAAAATCTCTAGCTTTAGCGTGATAAGGAAGCAAATCAAGAATGTCCAACTTTAGCATAATAAAGAAGCAAGAATCATATTTATATAGTAGTTAGTTATACCTTGAAACAAAATGTGTCCAGTGAATATACCAACCCTCTGACTGACCGCTATCCTCGCTATAGAAATACATGTAGTCCTCCTAGGGGCACAGCGCGTAAGTATCTATTCTATAATTCTCAAAAGAACGTTCTTTAAAGTCTATTCCCTGCACAGTCAGAGAGGACACACAGCCTGGGACGAGAGTAAGAGCTGGTCGTCTCGTGTCACTCCATGCTGCCATCCATCTTGTGTGGGGGCCTCATGGCTGACTTGGGTTTGCCCTTGTCATGGTCTGGCTCTGGGGGAGGAAGAACAAGGGGCCAGTGAAGGGGCCGCAGTGCTGGGTGTGAGCTCTAATGACACTAGTGCTCTGTGCCCTGGAGGCGATCCACTCTTCACACCACACCAAGCAGCAGAGGCCCCCGGCGCTGTGACCCACATTTGAATACATGGACGCAGGCGCAAAGTGAGGGCCGCGGCTGGAGCTCGAGTCTATGCGGTGTCTGCTGGTTGTACAGTGGAGACGGACTGAATATATTTTATTTATACCACGGTTCATGCTACAGAAACTTGAGGAATGCACGATTTTGGCAAAATATCCAATTGAGATATCGATATATTTTTGTGTATAAGAATCACATTTTGGTCATTCATTTAGATTGTGTACTTGCTCTGTTTTTTTCCCCAAAACAACAGATTAAGATACAGTATTTCTACATATACACCTATACATACATGTATGAATATCTACATACATACATGAGAACATATATGTACATAAATACAGTATACACACACATATGTATATATACACACATATATACATTCATACATACATAGGGATAAGCAAACCTTCACAAGAAATTAGGCGAATTGAGATATTTCTGACTACCCTTAGAATATGTATGTATGTATGAAAAGATATGTTTTATTTTACCGTAAAAATTAACTCCAGGAGACCAAACTTCAAAATAAGGAAGCAATGTAACTTATAGTAACACCGTGTTTCTCGAGCAGAAATAAAATATTAACTGAAAAACTGTTAAACTTTTGAATAACTTACTCTTCGCTCACTGAAGTCTTATAGTTAGACCTCTGTTTTGACAGTTTATATAAATTATGAAAAGGAGATTTCTCTTTAGGACTGAGAAAACAACCCTTCTGCACAACAAGAAGACTGAAGAAATCCGGAGACTTTTTTCCCCCAAGTTCAGGAAATGTACTCATGACTTAAATAAATTGTAGTCTTTGCAAGATTTAAGTTATATATAGGTCCAAATATGTCTTGGTCTTGGACACAGAAGACAACAATAGAGTAATACAGACATACGCCGTCGTGTCTCTGCTCTGTGGCCTGCATTCACAAGGTTGGATAGCAATTTTCTAATCGCAACCACAAGAATTGCAATTTAAATGTGATTGCAATCAGAGGTATCTAAATTACACAAAACTGTATCAGACTGTGAATTGTACATGCAGTAAATTGCAGTTCTGCTTTTGAAGGAGGAACAAAAGGAAAGAGACGGAATAAAATCAGCTGTATACAGTACATTGTAAAACACTTTTGTAGATTACTTAGAATTACTTTAGTCTTTGGACAGAGTGGGAAAAACCTTGGGACAAACTAAAACACAATCTATTTGCATTCTTGGAAGATATGACACATGTTTTTTAAGTGATAAAGAATGAACTAATCTGTAACCGTATTATATCATCTCTAATCGTCTATGTCGAAAACCTCGTATCGGGTCTTGTTTAGTTTTTGGTTGAACAAACTCAACAATATTGTCATGTTTCTGCAGACCCTTATCTTAAAATCCATAACCTTGGAAACGTAATGGTATTTGTGTTGAAACGTAATAATATTTGTGTTGAAAAGCTTCCAGAAAAGATGTTTCCTCCAGCGCACTGCTATATGATTTAGTTGGTAAAAATGTGTTATAAAAAACGAGGGGAGACAATTTAACGTAACCATTAGTTTGCAAAAGCTAGCATTTCTCTTGTGTCTTACATACGAGTTTCTATTCACTGGCGAAATTGCACAGCTTCAAATTTGCGTCATTTTTTTCTTTCTTTTTTTTTTGAGTGCGCTTTTTGGACGGAATAAGTTCTTTGCAAACCAATACAAACTGGTCTGACACTTCAATTTCCTCCTCAGCGGGAGACATGGAGAACAGAGAGGCCCAATACAATGACTACTGTGAAAGTCAGGTACAGTTATGTAGCCAGCTCCAACCCGCTCCTCCATTCAGCACTGTATTACTGTATTCTCTATATTTTTTTGTCCGGCAAAAAAAAAAAAAAAGCATGTTTTTGTTCCCTCAATACAATATTACCGGCATCGCTGCAAGGAAAGGTTATGTTTTGGGTCCATGTTTTTGCAAAGTCTCCTAAAAAGTATTTTCTTTCTGCGAAATGTTAGGGGAGAGATAGTCCCAGAGTCAAAAATGGATTTTTCAGGATGTTTCAGTCAAGGTTTTGTTCGTATCAATATGCTTTGTATACGATTCCTGATATAGGCACATTATTGTATGTGTCGTGTGTGGTTTTGTGACATGCAAGGATCAATGTCCTTCAATCTTGACCAAAATTGTCAATGTTCTGTGTCTGCGCAGATTTCTCCTCAGAAAAATAACTACTACCACTACTAACTACTACTGTTACTGACTACTACTACGATTACTAACTACTACTACCTACCACTACTACTGGCCTCCTGAAGCTTTCATATCTTTGTTCATTTTTCACATTTGCCACAAAGATAGATCTATATGATAACTGAATTCAACATGAAGTAACAATTTATTTTTCATTATACAATATACTGTATGTTTGGTACAGTTTCTTTTACCTTTGGACCATATTGTAATATCCCCTTAATAAAGATTAATGGATAAATTAAAAAATCACATACATTCTACAATACCTTAAGTGTGTGTGCGTAATGATCAATATTCTTAAATTCTGACCAAAATTGGCAATAAAATGATCCTTTCTGTGTCTGCATAGATTTTAAATGAGCTTGAATCTTTAAATATTTGGACATTTTAATCATAAAAAGCGTGTTTTGAATATTTTTGTCCGTGCATTCCAGTCAACAAAAAATCAGTTTACAAATTTTGTTGATTAAAATTTCAAAATGACATGTTCACCTTTGAAATTCACCTTATTCAATGTGTTTTTTTTCAAGCCCTAAAATTCAATGCACTGTGAAATTCGATGAAAAATAAAAAAAAAGACCATTCAAAGATCATTTGTTTCATCAGATTTGAAATATTCTTGAATATTTTTATCTGCGAATGTCAGTCACTGGTTATCAATGTTTTTAAATTAAAACATACTACAATACATTATATACAAACAGATACATAGTGTGTTTGTGTGTGTGTGTGTGTGTGTGTGTCTGTGTGAAAAATGTAACTGCAGCGAGTACATTTTGTCGTGTCACGTTTGCATTGACCAACTGTTGCATGCCTGATGAGCGCATGTCAAAGTAAGAACAGTTCCTTTCTTCCTAATCACCAGCAGATGCATAATGTCTTCCCACTTACACCGTTACCTCAGACCGGCCTCCGTTACAGCCTTGCAGCAGATGTCTGTCTCTCAATGACATCAGCTCACCAATTACACGTCTCCAGGGCTAATTTGGCACCGGGAAGGGTCAGCTCTAGGTCCTCCGCTCATTTCTCCCACAAGTCTATATAAGCCGAGGTACAGTGTATATATATATATATATATCTATACGCTATTTGGACAGGCTGTGGGAGAATAGCCCGTTTATGACAAAACATTAGTGTCGTTTTTTTATGAACTGATTCCATTCTGCTAACAAGAGGTCATCAGGACAATTGAATTTGTGCCTGCAGCCCGATCAGGGGAGGGGGTAGAGATGGGAACGTGGCGCCTGTGGCTCTATTGTCTGCATTGCCGGCTTTGTGTGTCATGCACGGAGGAGAGGATGGCTTGCCTGGACGTTAAATTCGATCAAAACAAGTCGGCGGTATCGATTCTACGTGTTCACATGCTTTGGATCTCTATTTTAATTCGTCATTTCAGTCGTTACTGTTTGCTATAAAAGCGTTGGAGAGGAGAGATAAAAGCAGGAGCACTATGTCGTCTATAAGGGCAGATGTGAAGCAAGCAAAACAATTTTCTACTAGATTGGCAATTTTGATCTGTCGTGTGCGATGTTTGGATATGATAGAGGTAGTCACTTTTCTTTATTTCAAAACATTGAGACATAAATGTTTATATTACAGAAGTTTCCATCTTGTTTACTGCCAACCAGTGCTCTCCAAAATACTATCAAACAGGCTACATCTAAAAGTGTCATAATCGACTGTCCTGGTGGCAGACTTGGTGCCTTTCGCTTAGGTTCAGCTACAAATTATATATGTGCAAAGGCAAGTCTTCTCACTGTAAAAAACCTTTACTTTTTCAAAGCACTAAATTCATTGAAGGATGTATGCGTTTTAAACCAAATTGAGTGAAATTTCAAGCAAAGCAATAACATTCATACAACAAAAAGCGGGGACATGGAAAAAAACATGCAAACTACACTCAGAAAGACCCTTTTTTCCGATTGGATATCGAACCCAGTACCTTCTAGCTGAGAAGCAAGAGTAATAACCACTGTATCAATGAAAAGACAATCCTCAAAGCGTCAGAGTGGAAAATGGGAGGTGAATAAATCTGGTTCAAACACTGACAGAAGTACATTTAGCACAATATGCTCTCTGCGACCCGCACGCCTTATGAAATCATTACCAGAAAGTCATTTGAAAATGTAAACCACTCCAATTTCTGCAACGTTTGTCTGAGTGTGAGGCTCACCTGGTCCTCCTCTCCGCCGCCCTCTTCGTCGTACTTGAGGATGTTGTCTCTCACGTCGTCTTCGGGGTCGATCAGCAGCTGTTTGGCCTGACGCTCCTTATCCCTGCGCTTCATCCACACCACGAACATCAGGACCAGGACTGCACCGAAACAAACACACACGAAAAAATCTCCCATTATGCAAGGTTTTTTTTTTTCTACGTCGTACATTTGACAGCATCTACTTGGTGCTTTATGACACGTCCGTTATCGCATCCAAACAACAGCATAACCTCTGATTGCCCCGTTACGCTTAGCGACTCTTGACTTTTGATAGCGTTCAATTTAGCAAGTGAGTAATGATTATTTATATAGCGCAATTCACAGATTGAGGTCACAGAAAGCGCTTTACAATGTTGGTGTAACAGTCATTTCCGTTCACGACGAGAGGCGGTGATGGCGGCGAACACCTGGCGAACTGAAGACCGTCAACCGTCAAAGTCTGTTCTTTTACGTTTACACTTTTTACTTATTTACACCAGTTCAAATATTTTTTTTGTTTTGGATAGCCCTAAATCACTACAGCAGTCGTCTTTGATCAGAGAATCAAACGGGAATCAAAACACAGGAAATGCAAAAATAACACACAAATGACCAAAGTCCATGTCCATAAATGTCCTCATATGTTGTCCGTCAATGCCCTTAAATGTCTTTAAATGTCCTTAAATGTCTTTAAATGTCCTTAAATGTCTTGTATTGGCTAATTGGATCTGTGTGTTTCCATTGTCCCCAGGTTTGGATTTTCGCAGAGTTCTGGGCTTTAAACTGAACAGCCTTCGAAGTTGGAATTCCCACTTGGAAACTCAAAAATGGCCGTGTCCGAAATAGAGAATCCAACATGACCTTGGGCCCGGTGAAAGTTAAAATATTGATGGTCCATGTGTTATTTCCTCCTTGGGTTTCCTCTGCAGTCCAGCCGCTGTCTGTGCACCTGCCTCTGAATCCTTACAGTTCCAACAATTACATGAAATCCCAAACATGACTTCATATACTGAAAATGTAAAATTAAAGCTGCACTAACTGACTTTGGGACTCGCTGGCCTCTCTCTTTCTGCTCCCCTCCCCGCACCCACGAAGCTATCGCCCCCCACACACACCCACTGTTGTCGACGGAGCTAGTGTCTCCCAATATGGATAATACATGGATATGGATTTTCACGTGGATGGCGTGACCATAGAACGATAGAACTGGGAAGCGCGGAGGAACGGGACTTTCTTTTGGATGGCTGTCTCGCTGTGTACGCAGTAACCGGTGATGAAGACACGAAGCTTCAGGTTAGCTCCTCGGCTTGTTGTGCTAACTCAGCCGTCTATGCTAACAGACCTGTAGATTTCTCACGAAAGTGGGGGCTAGTGGTCCGCTGTGATTGGTCACAATCTGCGACCCGAAACACATTCTCTTCCTTGTTTCATCAAAACTCGATCTAAAATATAATGTCACATCAGCACAAATCTGCGCTACTTTTTCTTCAAAAGGACGTATATCCCAATGCACTACATGGATAGCATTTTCGTAATGAATACAAAAATAAAGTCAGTTAGTGCAGCTTTAACTGTAATAGATCCATAATTTGAATAATTGTTTTTTTGTTTTACTTGTTACTGCAACGTTTCAGTTATTGATATTTTCCAAAGCAGGTTATTGCTTAGACCCGCCCAGTCTAACCCCCACTGCTTCCTGATTGGACGAAATAAATTTAAATACACAAACAAAGCACCTTGCCATTGGCCAAATTGTGGTGGATATGCCAAAGAGAAGGACTGAAGAAAAAATGTGTTTGTATGTAGTATCTACGTGATATTACATGATCATTGGGTCAAAAATTATACATTTGTCTAAATATTTGATACAATTTAAAATATATCCAGGTTTAGACTTATACAAACATTACACCAACATTGTGCCAACATAGCTACGCCCCAACCCACACCATAATTCCCACCATATTTCCGGCCCGACTCAACAATCTGATATTTCAAAGCTTTTTAATCTCTAATCCTCTGGTAATCTAGTGGCCATCGCGGATAGCCATCTCCGTAATCCCCACTGGAGCTCCCCCTCTCCCCCGGCTATGGAGAGAGACCGACACTTACTCAGGAGTATGATGATGCACAGTAGGATGGAGATGATGGCGCCCGTGCCCAGCCCCGCCGCCATGATGTGCTGCTGGTCGGTGCAGTCTCCGTTGATGTCGCACTGGCACACCTTGATGCGCAGGTAGGAGGTGTTGGACATGGGGAGATTGCCCGAATCGGTGATAATAATGGGCAGGTCGTAAATCCCGCTCTCCAGATATCCGATCTTCAAACTCAGCTGTGCGTAGTCACCTGCAAAGGCAAACACTACGATTCAATATGGCACCAGGTGGAAGGATTACGATGAAAGAAGAAAACGCATGCGTATTGAAAATTGACATATCAGACGTCTTTTAGAGAGGGATTAAGCGGGGAAAGTAGAATAGATGTTTGAATAGACCTTGTTCACCACATGATTACACACTTGTTATAAGAAATAGGGAGCTACCTGGGAAATACATCTGCATATCTAATCCACAAAACATGGTTCGGATTTAGATTTGGGGCTTATAACGCTGCTGAATACCTTTTCATAATGCTGCTTATGCTAAATTCCCGGTTGCGATAATCCGAATGCTATTATCCTATTAGGTTATATTCACTGCCGTTTTGAGTCACACTATCTGAAACGCAAACAAGCAGTCACTCAGTTTGGCGACAATGTTTTAGCGCTAATTAGCATTAACAATTAGCATGTGCTTATTAGGTTCCTTTGACTTTCGTGATTTACATTTTTTTGAACCACTAGAAAGGAGAGGTGATATAAAACACGCTCTAATTGATACATTTTTGAGTGGATTTTAATAGAAATTCAACAATATCCCCCCAATTCTTCATGAGATGAATGACATTTTTTTTTTCATTTATTGCACTGGACTGTTCTAATCCGTGTGTAGTATTTGTGTATGGGGTGTAAGATCCAAGAGTTATGAAAAGGCTTGTGGCAAATTGGTAATCATCACTTGCCAATGGAACTAGCATACACCGGCGCATGTTAATTAAAAAAATTCTCACTATTATCAAGGAAAAAGTTCTTGTGTAGGAGGGTCTAAGGATAGTGGTGATCAGGGACAAAGCAGGACTTTTCTGGATGTTCATTAACATTTATAGAGATTGGTCTTCTCGTTCTCTATGGACCACTGGCTTGTATATGTTTAATATTACTGCCATTTCTGTGTTTAAACTGTTGGATTCTCTGCTCTGTTGTTTGCCAACGAGAGTCCTCCGAGACGACTGCTGTTATTATATACAAAGATCATTTTAATGGAACTTTCAAACGGAAATATCTGTAATTTCTGCTCCTTACATTTTGAAATAAGTTACTTTGCAGTTGGCGCCAGCATGCAAACAGGTAATAATGTTTTTGAGGTTAAAATCATTCTCCAGTGTGAAACATTTCTACAAAAATATGTTGTTTCGATATACTTCAATACTTTTGCCAGAAGTAGATAAAGATGTACTTTTACTTTAGCACCCAAAACCACTACTACTTTTTCTACCTCTGAGGACTAATGCATTTTTAAGGAATATCCATTTTTCCAATTCAAGAGTGACTTTCATTTGTAGTCGAGTTTTAGCTCACTGCAAAAAGTGATGAAAAATAAGTAAAAAAATGCTAAAAATCTGAAAAATGTGGCTTAATTTGAGCACATTCTGACTGCCTTAAAACAATATTTGCCAATGGTAAAAACAAAATTGTCTAATTTTAAAAAGATACAAGAAATGTCTCCCTTGAAAAAAAAAATAAAAATGTTGTCTTGAAATAAGACTAAATGGCTTTGTCCTATTGCCAAATCTTGTTTTAACCATGTATTCGTTTTAAGAACAAAAAAAACTTGATTACAGCAATATTTTCCTCATATTTTGTCATTTTTTGCAGCGTACAATAGTTTACATTGTACTGTATATTTGACGATAAAGTTGAAGTGTAAGTCGTACCACTTATCCTGGTGATGGTCCAGTTCCGCCGCACGTCTATGGGCCGGTGTGCCAGCTCGAAGGCGAAGGGCCCGCCGTTGGGGTTGAGGTCTCCGTCCACAGCCGTGATGTTGATGGCGTTGGGCTCTGGTTTCTCACAGATCTCTACCTCCTGGGGGAACACCTTGGGGGCATTGTCATTTATATCCAGCAGGTAGATCTGCAGCGTGCCGGTCCCAGTGGCTGATGGTTGACCTGCAGGGACAGACATCACACTCAGAGCCTGCAGGACGAGGAAGGGAGCGTTCAGATTATTTCAGACGAAGCCACAACATTTTATTGGTTGTTTATTGACCTTTATCTAACCTGGAAAGTCTCACTGAGATTGCAGTATATATATATATTTTTTTTTCAGGGGAGTCCAGGCCCCAGAGAGAAGGGGGAGAGAGTGGGGTCAGGTATGGTGTCATGGGGACGATTGTACATGTTTTTATTAGTAGGGGAAACCGGAGCACCTGGAGGAAACGCAGATAAAGGGAGGACAGACCGCTGTGCCACCGTGCCGGTTTATTATTATTATTATTATTATTAAGTGATGCACATGTTGAAAAAGAGAAATGTATTAGTTGGCAGCATTCCAGTCTCATTTCTTACTTTCTCACACACTCAAATTATTCACTGGAAGGAATTTATGAGTGCTTTCCATAACGTTAATGGTACACTAACGGCAGAAAATACTATTTAATTAGATTCTGACAGACAATTATGTTCTTTTGAAAACTCTGAAAGCACATTTTGCGAAACTGCGTGGAAACAAATAGGTGCTTCAAGTAAAGTCAATAAATTCAACAAAAATGATACAACCCAATCATGCCGCTTTAGGGGAGAGCGAGGAGTTATTTCTTCAATATCATTTTCATTTCAGACTTTACATCTTCCCCCAAAATGCACTATTGTCGTGCGTATAATGTGCCTACTGTACATACATACACACACATTGACGGTAAATATTTAACTTTTTTTTTAACTCCTGACCATTTAAACATTATTGCCAATTTAATTTGTATGTGTATGACTTAATTATTTTACCTTGTGTGTACATATTTGAGTATTTTCATATTTCGTTTTTTTTTCTGTCCTGGACTGGTTGGAGTTGAGTGTATATTAAAAAAATAGATCAGATATAACCAAAACAAAAAGGTTACTGCCAGTCCATTTTACATTCTTATACATTCTACATAATGCTGATAAATGATTAAAACCCAATGTATACCAACGTACATATACCTCTCACACATCAATCCAAAATGTTTTTGTTTTGGTATTTTCTGCCTCCAACAGATTAAACCCTTCACAAAACCCACTCTACGGTTCTTCATTTTAAGACCCTTGCAAAACGGCTATTTACTCCAGCGCAGGGCCACATCCAAACAGCATACTGATCTGAAAATCTAATCTCGAGTGAGAAAAAGAGACAGAAAGAGTGATATCAGAACATTTGGCGGTGTGTGCAGGGTGTCTTTCTGACCGAGCACGGGGAACGGCATACTAAAGGCATCAGACAGAGCCCACTGTGGAACGCCTATTCACCGCTAAGAGGCTTTCTCAACATTCAAGCCACGCTCAAAGAGGCTACTCATCCAATCCTGACCCATTAAAGCAGCGAAACCTCTTATTGGGGTAGTTTTTAAGCCTATTGGCCTAAGCTATGTTCCGTAGAATAGGGTGAAAAAGGAAAAAAAAAAAATCCTGGACAGCGCCGGAATCGCATCAGCGCGTAGAAAGGTGACTACATTTCTTCCCGTATAGGTGAGATTGCTCGGCCATTAACCTTCAAGCTGTGGTGGTCAGGTTTTTTTTTTTTTCCCTACAGAGAAAGTCAAGTGTGTGCTATGAGTTTGACCTTCAAGGAGCGAATGCAGTCTTTGTGGCTGTAACAGAGAACCGTGTTTGGAAGAGCGAAAAAAACACTTAGATAGGTCGGGGGCACGTGGCTTCTGCAGGTAGCGAGGAACAAAAGTACGCAAAGTGATGCTATAGGTGGATGTAGTGACCTTTTTGAAAACGGATAAAAAAGATCATAATTTGGCAAAAGTGGCAATATTGCGCCCACGCTGGTTTTCAGATTAAGATTAAGAGGTTTGTGATTCATCCTGCGGTAGAGAAATTTCAGTGTTGCATCACCGGTCACAGACCAGCAGTGATGGGAATAACGGCGTTACTAACGCCGTTACTTTTTTCAGTAACGAGTAATCTAACTAATTACTTTGACAGTAACTATAACGCCGTTATCATTTCCGACATCCCGTTACTGCGCGTTACTCAAGACGCACAATGAACGTGTTGTCATGAGAGAAGGGAGGATGAGAAAACCTCTCAGCAATTATTGGCTGATGTAAATCATATTTCCTTTACAATCTACATGTCTACAGTTGAGAGGATGGCTCATAAATTGTGTTTTTGAAACAAATATGGGTCTTAATCGCGCTCAACCACGGCTTGTATCACCGTGAGGTCAGCCACAGAGGAGCGCATGTGAGCGCAGAAGTCGGCTGCATACAATTCCATCGATAAGCTCCTTGCTCTTCCTGGTTTATCTGCTAAGGACAGCAACAGGTTTGGCTAACATACATATAACACATTTTTACATAATCTAAAATGCACATAGGGTAATTTTTCAATTACTATAGGAATGATAAGAAAGAGAGGTGAAGTGTAAGACGGTTGATTTTAGAAATTGGATGCAGCCGGCTGCAGCAAAACAGAGGAGTTTACGGAGGACACACGCGTTTTGTTTTACTTTTTAAAACTCATTGGACTCATTTCCAAATGGAGGATTACATATCTACGCTCAAACCATTCACTGGATTTAAACAAGGAACTGGTCCTGAACCGAAGTGGACTGTGCAGGTCATTTATAAGGTATAGCTATAAGGTAAGACTCATAACTCATAGTTTTGCGTTTTGTATGAACAAACAATGCGGGCATAAAACATATTTTGCTGTAGCCAAACAAATTGTCCACTTGATTTATATGATGTATATGTTCATCTGATTGGACTGAAGTCAGTGCTTCACCAGCCTCACCGCTCGTCACCGGTGTTTCCACATTCACAGTGGCGGGCTTTACAGCACAGTGAGAGATGAAGAGTGAACAGGACTTCAGCAGCAAAACAGCCTTTTCTAGATGGAAATATTGGCACTGTTAAAGGTAAAAATGCGCACGTCGGGTGCACATTATGTTCCAGAACAAAACGAAAAAGTAACGCAATAGTTACTTTTACTGGTAACTAGTTACTTTTATAGTGGAGTAACTCCGTTAGTAACTCAGTTACTTTTTGGGAGAAGTAACTAGTAACTATAACTAATTACTTTTTCAAAGTAACGTGCCCAACACTGCAGACCAGGTAGGAATGAGGAGCACACAACACAAGATAAATGATCAATAACTCTAGTCTAAAACAAAATTATATCTCTAACTTTAGCTTAATAAAAAGCTAGTATAAAATCTGTAGCTTTAGAGATTATACATTCAAAATAAACTGTGTGGGGAAGCTGGAAGCGTTCGCAGCTTTTTTGTAAGGCAATCCAAAAATCCCTCAAAGTGGGACGTACCATTGTCGGTAGCCATGAATGTTGCGTTGTACAGGCTGTTCTTCACAAAGGGAGATTCCCGATCCAAAACGGCCATTGTTGTGATGCGCCCGGTGTTGGGGTCAATCCGTAGCCACTGGGCAGGATCGGAGAGCTTGGAGTACCTGTGAGGGTAAGATAAGGCCATTACATATAGCGTTGCAAAATGATTGAAACTTTCAATGGGAATGAATGGGAATTAACACAAAATAATTGAAATTAACTGGGAATTTTCCAAAAGTATTTTAGGCTATTGATAGAAAACACTTAAATATAGTTGGGTAAAGTTATTTTAGCATAATCTTGCATAAAACAAACAGATGCCTTTCAAAAACACTTGAATATCCAGGTTATTCCTCAATTCTAGGCCACGCCCCCTACTGGCCATGTGTCTCAATCACATGCACAGGAGAGTTCCAGACAACTGCAGACACTTTTAAGCCCAAAGCTCAAATGTGTGCAGTAAAGTGAAGTAAGTTTTGATATTATGGGAAAATTACAAAATAAATACTGACGCTTACAAATAAATCTGTTGAAAGCCTTTTGAATGGGTGCTTTCTTATGATGACTTCTGTTTATATTTATGCTTGGGTATGACACAATTTGATTACATTACATTTAATTCCAAGCAATGGCCTATTCCCAAAATACCCCAGCTTAACCTCCCATATACCGGACATTTTCCACCCCTGTGCAACCCTAAATACATAAAACATTACAGAGTTGTTTCGAGAAGTTTTCTGATGAATGGAACTGTCATTTTGCCCATTTTTTAATCAGGGAACAGTTTTTGTTTACACAGATAAATATTTAATGCTTTTTACATAATTATTCCTACTTTGGAAAAAAAAACAGGCTCACGGGAGAGACTTGAGCAGACTTGTTGTTTTTGGGTAAGACTAATTTGTTCGACAAACTGTAGAATTGGAAAGCAAGGAGTTTTCACATGCACAATTCACTCCGCAGGAAAACAACAAAAATATAATCATTAATCCGTCTGTGTTTTTGAAGGCTTTTTATCCCGGGAAATGGAGAGTTATTCTAGTCATTAAACAATCATATTCTTTACCGCCAAAACAATCCTGTCAAAGTTTGCTCTTTAATTTCTTAACATGCCCATTGGCCATTATAAAAAGATGATGGCACATGCACTTGGCCTGTCGGGGTTCATAAAGTGCCAGCTCGGAGTAGAATGTAATGTGCACCAGTTCATTGACTTGTAAATCTCACCTGATGTTCTGGTGCATGAAGCGGTCAGGGTCCTGGGCGGTGAATGTGGTCAGGGTGGACTCGGGTGGCATTCCCTCCTCCAGCCTAATGAGTTTGGGGTCAGGCTGGAAGTAAGGGCTCTCATTGACATCGATGACCCTGATGGAGACGGTGGCGGTGGACTGGCGCGGGGAGTGGATGCCCCTGGCCAGAGGCACCTCGTTCCGGGCCTCCACGGTCAGCACGTACGTCCTACTTGTTTCGAAGTCAATAGGCTGCAAACAGAAGGAATCAGAAAATAAGCAGGAAGTCCTGTTTAAAACATTCATGTGATTGGACTGTGTGTTTGTTTTTGGATTCAAGAAATAAATAATGAATGGACTGTTTTTTTACAATTTGAATCTGAAAATGTGTTCACTATAAAACGAGTCTAGCAGAATGTACTGGTGTGTAAGGTGTAATGTGCTTTGCTACATGTCCCGGGGGAATGAGGAGGCGGAGTCTCTTACCTTGACGACTGTAACTAAGCCCTCGTTAGTGGTTGGATCAGTGGGCACAGAAAAGCTGCCGGTGGGGTCGCCCCCGGTGATTTTGTAGACTGCGTTCCAGGCCGGCGTGTTGGGCTGGTCCTTGTCAGTCACCGTCAGGTTCGCCACGATGACATTCACACGGTTTTCAGGCACCTCGCCGAAGAACTGCATGAATAAACCATGACAGTACAGAGCAGCGAGCTGTTAGCGATACTGCAGTGACAGCACAAAATAGTAGCAATCCCAACCTCATGCAGCACAGCAGGACCAATCTAGGTAAATAGACATCTGAGGTAACTTATCATGTCGTCATGGCCGTCCTGCTGCCCGTCCTCCCCAGATAGCTCAACTGTGGCATTACAAATTTCAGTGATTCACGCTACGGTAAGTGGCTCTTTCAGCAGAACGGACCGCCCCACTGTCGCATGTGTCAACATTTGGGAGCGGGATATAACACTTTACGCACTGCTACCTCCTTGTATATTTGGCTGCAGAAGAGCTGCCCAAGCAGAACCAGCCAATAAAACCAAGACAACTGGATGTTTATTGGGGTGAAATACAGGTCCTGTTTACAATATTGTGCATTGCTCACCGTCTCTGCAGTGAACTCCGGTGGGTTGTCATTGACGTCGGTGACCCTGATGACCGCCGTGGCCGTGTTCGACAGACCGTACATGGGATTCCCCTCCATGTCCGTGGCCTGGATGATCAGCGTGTACTGAGACACTTTCTGTTGGAGACACCAAATTATTTACACCAAAACCGAGATGACGTGACCTACTTTCTAAACATACTATAAATACCAGTGCATCATTATACACTGTATAATACATCATATATCACAACATTGGTGCATCCAAAATAAACAAACATGATCAGCGTCTATTTGACAGCAAGAATGTGTTTTTGCATCGCACCAGATTAAACAGGTGACCTCAATAAGCTGCGGAATCCACTGTACATAAATATTAATGAGCTAAAGCGAAACAAACCTGGCTGGCTTCTTAATTATGATGACTAATGGAGGCTTTTTATATGAATCTGATTTATTCGTTTTGCCTAAGAGCTGGCATGTGTGCATATATGAAAGCTACACCTCTGCTCCACACTATCAACTGACTCTTTTCACGTTAGTAAGTAAGTAAGTAAGTAATCTTTATTTATATACCGCCTTTTCACTACAGATTTGAGTCTCAAAGCGGTTTACAATTGTTAATTTTTGGGCATTTGTCTCTCACTCCAGACAGAGATGGGAGCGGGGTCGCCAGTACAGGAGGCGCATGCCAGAACTATTGGACATATTTTTAGTGGTAGGGGAAACCGGAGTACCCGGAGGAAACCTACGCAGACACGGGGAGAACATGCAAACTCCACTCAGAAAGGCCCTGGTCCGACCGGGATTCGAACCCAGGACCTTCTTGCTGAGAGGCGAGAGTGCTATCCACTCAGCCACCGTGCCGCCCACGTTAAAAGCCACTCAGGTAACAGGCTGGTTGTCGGATAATGAGAACCCAGCAAATTACTTTCATGGTGGCAACCGATGGACATAAAATGGCAGCCGCGGGGCAGGAGTGATTGAGCAGGCCCCGGTCTGAATATTCCCGCATTAGAAAGGCAACAAATGGAAAGCGCATTCTGGTGATGTTAATATTTTCAGTTCAATACGAGCGGACAATAAAACAGAAATAGGTTTTGGGCTGAAGTTTAGAGGATGACAGTGATGCAGGAACATTTAGAACTAGTTTGTTAGCGACTGAAAGGGCAGTTAGACAATTACTGACTGAAAGGGCATTTGAAGATTATAAAAGAAACTCTGCATACTTCTTATAGTTCTAATAGTTTGCTTTGCTCTCCTCTCAGTATCAGTGGAACCGGAGGCTTCGCACAAACCTCACATCAAGTTTAGCGATCAGCACACTTGTATTTTTCATTTAGCAAAAATAACTATGCAAAGCTGTCGAATGATTTATGTAGAGCGGATTGAGAAAATAAAAAAAGGTCAGAGGAGCCTTCTTAAAAAATGCATGAATTGCTATGAAAACAACATTCTGACACTTTTAGATCTCCTTTTTCAGACGGAAACGTGAAAAAGAGAGGACCGGTAATGCTTAGCCCAAAATGTCAAATAGTAACTCCCGGAATCTTTTGTACAAGTATGAAAAATGTATTATGATTTCCAATAAGAAAAAGACAGCATGTTCTGTTGTTAGCAAAATGTTAGCTTAAAAACACCATCTGCGTCAGGACAACCGCAATGTATTGTTTTTAATTATTAATATGCTAAAGCCAGAGGTTTTATACTTGCTTCTTTATTATCCTAAAGAGAGTTTATTTCATTTTAGTATCGAGTTATTGTTTATCGAACTTGTGTTGTGTGCTTCTCAATCCTACTGTTCTGTAACTTTACATGAAGAATTAAGGATCTCTTAATCTGTTTGTCTGGAGGGGTAAAAAGTTAGGTACCCCAGCTTTATCAATAAAAACAAACACATGGAGAAGTGACTAATGTATCATAAATTTGCCTTTTACACTTCCAGGAACCCAGTAGATCTAGTGGGAGTTACTAGTCGCATGAGACCAAGTGGATACGAATGGAAGAGTCTAAGGCACCTCTCGGTCCAGGCCGGCCGCCACGGTGATGATGCCTCCAGTCTTGTTGTTGATGGTGAACATGTTGGAGCTGGGGCTCTCGGGGTTCTGGGACAGGATCTTGTAGCGGAGCATGCCGTTGGCCGTCTTGGGGTCGTCTTTGTCCACGGATGTGACGGTCATGACAAACGTCCCTGTGGAAGAACAAAGTGGAAAAAATTATACAATGTATGATAACGTTTTTATGGTTATGTTCGCATCACACCCTCTCGAGCCAAACATATTATTTTCATTACAGTTGTTCCCCTTTTTATTCCAAAGGCCAATCCCTGCATGCAACGGACAAGAACAGAATCAAATCAAACAATAAAGATAGTGAAGAAAAAATACATTAACAATTCCTTTTCATTTTGGAAGTGCTCATGCACATTTTTACTCTTCACAACTTGACTTTTTCTGTATCTACATGTAGTTTATTGCTACGTCATTGTTTTGATTCCATTCTCTTTTCTAGTGCTACCATTAACTCCTCAAGAAGAGCCCGTACTAGTTACTATAGCAACACACCATTTACTGTCAGCAGTGAGCCTTTACTTTAAATATGATATATTTAAAGTAAATGCCAATATTAAATATTTACTTGAAATAAAATCAGTTGAAAAAAATCTGGAAGCAGGGAGTACTAGTTTGATAATTCTGGGAGTCTCAGTAATAATGATAATGAGCAATAACATTACCATAGAAATTATCAATCAATCAATCAACTTTATTTGTATGGCGCCTTTCCAACACAAGGCCACTCAAAGCGCCTCACAACCCACATAGTATCACACAAATCAGAGACATCAATAAATACATTAAAAACAGAATAAAATCACAAATAATGGAAAAAAAAAAAAAAAAAAAAAAACTTAAAATATTAAAAGCACACACGGGATTAAAATAATAAATAACCACAATGCATTAAAAAAAAAAGAGTATGTATCAATAGAATCCTTCAGCCGTATGCACAGCTAAAAAGAACAGTTTTTAGCCCCGATTTAAAAATTGCCAGAGTAGATGCTAGCCTCACATCTTCAGGAAGATTGTTCCAGATTTTAGCTCCATAAATCTCAAACGCTGCCTCCCCATGTTTAGTTCTGACTCTTGGAACCAGTAAGAGGCTACCTCCTGTGCTCCTCAGAGTCCGGGTCGGTTCATATGGGACTAACAAGTCGCTTAAGTACCCTGGTGCGAGGCCATGGAGAGACTTGTACACAAGCAGTGCTGCTTTGAAGTCTATTCTCTGAGCCACAGGAAGCCAGTGCAGAGACCTGAGAACTGGACTAATGTGGTCATATTTCCTGGTCCTGGTCAGGACTCGAGCTGCAGCATTTTGGACATACTGCAGTTGTTTTACAGCCTGTTTGGAGAGACCTGTGAGCAGGCCATTGCAGTAGTCTAACCTACTGGAGACAAATGCATGGATGAGAATCTCCAGATCTGATTTAGACACTATGTTTCTAATTTTGGCAATGTTTTTCAGATGGTAAAATGCTGCTGATGTTACTGATTTGATATGACTGTTAAAATTTAAGTCTGAGTCCATTATAACTCCTAGGTTTCTGACCTTGCCTACAGGTTCCAGGGAGAGAGACTGGAGGTGACGAATAACGCTCTCTCTTTGTTTCTGAGGACCAAAGACAATCAATTCTGTTTTGTCTGCGTTTAGCTGAAGGAAGTTATTTTGCATCCAATCACTAATCTGTTGAGTACAGTGAAGGAGTGATTCCACTGGTCCATGTTCTCCTGCAGTAAGTGAGACATAAATTTGAGTGTCATCAGCGTAATTGTGGTAGGATACATTGTTGGAGCGTATTAACTGACCTAACGGCAGCATGTAAATATTGAACAGAAGAGGCCCCAGAATTGATCCCTGTGGCACTCCGCAGGTCAGAGCCATATGATCTGAGACACAGTTTCCTATCTGAACCAAGTATTTCCTGTCTTCTAGGTAAGACCTAAACCAACTTAGGGCAGTCCCAGTGACACCCACCCAGTGCTCTAGTCTCTGCAGGAGGATCTCGTGGTCGACTGTGTCGAACGCAGCACTCAGATCCAACATTACTAAAACTGTGACTTTTCCTGTGTCGGTGTTAAGTCGGATGTCATTTGTAACCTTCACTAGTGCAGTCTCAGTGCTGTGATTGGCTCTAAAGCCGGACTGGAGCGCATCAAACAAACTATTAGTTACTAAGAATTCTGTAAGTTGTTGGTAAGCAACTTTTTCCAGAATTTTTCCCATAAACGGCAGATTTGAAATGGGGCGATAATTCTTAAGAACTGTGGCATCTAGACTCCTCTTTTTTAGGAGGGGTCTGATGACTGCCGTTTTCAGGGCCATTGGAAATGTTCCAGATGAGAAAGACATGTTCACTATTTGTGTGAGCAAAGGTAAAAGACTGCTCAAAACAGACTTAAAAAATTTAGTGGGTAGTACATCCAGGCTACATGTGGAGGAACTAAGGCTAGAGACAACATCTTGGACAGTTTCATTATCTGTTGGTGCAAAGTGCGATAGCTCAAACAGCCTCACCGGCTGTTGTAATGTTATTTCTGCCTTGGAGGTGATGGCGTTTTTGATGCTCTGAACCTTGTCATTGAAAAATTGTGCAAACTCATTACATTTAGATTCTGAAGCAAATTCGAATGGCAGCTGAACAGGGGGTTTGTTAATCCGTTAACTGTTGAAAACATAAGTCGTAGATTATTATTGCAGCCATCAATGGTTTTAGAAAAATAAATTTCTCTTGTTCTACGTAGCACCCTGTTAAACTTGCACAACTCATTTTTGAAGATATCATGATCAACCTGGAGATTGGATTTTCGCCACTTCCGCTCGGCCCTACGGCACTCTCTCTTCTGTACCATGACTGAGTCCATTTTAGTCCAGGGGGCCTTTGGCTTATTTGTAATCATTTTAACCTTCACAGGAGCGATGATGTCCAGAACATTTATAACATTGGCGGTGACAGAGTTAAACAATTCGTCAACAGTAGAACACAATGTGTTCTCAAAGTTTATCATTCCCATGAATAGTTCGGTTGTGTTTTCATTTATGTGTCTGTTTCTGACAATTGCAGATTCAGATATATATGGTTGTTTGCTATCAAAACACATGTCAAAAAATACACAGAAGTGATCTGACAGAGCCACGTCAACCACATTTACATTTAAAATATTAACCCCCTTTGTAACCAGCAGGTCTAGAGTGTGCCCTTTGCTGTGGGTGGGGCCACTCACGTGCTGAGTGAGACCAAATGTTTCAAGTACAGAACTCAGCTCTTTTGCATTTTTGTCATTGCCATTATCCACATGAATATTAAAATCACCTGTAATCACTAAACTTACACAAACTAAATTGTGACAAGACTGCGGTGGCTTGTACAGGACAATGATAAGAATAGAAGGAGATTGTTTTTGTTCTATTTTAAAAGAAATATACTCAAATGATAGAAAATTTCCAAGGAGAATTCTATGAGAGATAATACGATCTCTAAATAATGCAGCAATGCCTCCCCCCCTTTTATTTTCTCGGATTTCAGATTCAAATTTGAAGTTTGGTGGCGTTGCTTCTATTAAAACCGCATTACCTGTACTCTGGTCAAGCCAAGTTTCAGTCAGAAACATAAAATCAAGATCATAAGAACGGATAAAATTATTAATTAAAAATGATTTGTTGCACAGTGATCTGACATTAAGCATAGCAATTTTAAAATTAATATCAGTAACAGTGGGTTTAGTTAATTGATTTTTACAAGGAGCAGGAATTAGATTTGAATGTCTAACTGCTGTCCTTCTGTTATGATTTTGTTTTCCATTCAAATAAAAACATTTTTTGAAACTGATGCGAGGAACACACACAGTTTCTATTTGTCTAACATGTGAACTCTTTTGCTGTGTAAGTCCCGGATTCAGGACGGCATTGCTTCGTTGTTTAGAGCAGGAGGCAGCACGGTTCAGAGGCGAGACTGTTATTTCACTGCCAGACGGAAAGGGGTCAGTGTTTGCACCACAGTACTCACCCGGTGCTGGTGAGCAGGAGAAGAAGGAGGAGGGTGGTGGTGGTGGGGGCTCCGATGTAAACAGTCACGCCCCCCTCGGGGAACACTGAATAACGTGGCGTAAGTAATCCGTCAACAAGCTGGTGCCATATCTATTTGGGTGCAGACCGTCTGGACGATAAGCCACGTGACGCTTCCAGAAAAGGCCAAAGTTATTCACAAAAATAAAGTTAAACGAGCTACATGCAGACTGGAGCCACATGTTGAGCGCCACTACGCGACTGTACAAGCAGTCTCCCCGGTTTACAGTCGGGACTGGACCAGAGATAAAAACACACAACCCGGAGGACTGGAGAAGGCGGAATAGATCCATAAAATGCTTCTTTGTGACCTCGGACTGCTGCAGCTTCATGTCGTTGATCCCCACATGCACGATTACCTTTGAAATGGTATCAGGCAGGGACTGAAGCAGAGGAGGGAGACGGATGAGCAGGTCTGGTACAGTGGCTCCGGGAAAACACTGAGTGACCGCGTTAAAAAAGCGGACGTGTCTCACGATGGAATCTCCAACAATCAAAGTAGTCGGGGCGAAGAGTGGACGTAGCCGCGGAGAGGGCGCTCGGTGTCCATGGCCAGAACCAGCGGGCTCATCCAGGGATGAGTCCGAACCAGGGCGCTGCTGAACACATGGAGGGGAGCGGGGGTGTTGATTCTCAGCTCCGGGCAACCCACGCTGTGTGCTCGGGGACGCTGGAGCAGCGAGAGGAGCAGGCTCGGGTCGCTGCTGCTGACCCGGTGGAGGTAAGTGGTGGTGATGCACTGGGGTCAGAGAAGGGGAATGATCACTCTTTCGTCTGAGGACGGCTTCCTTTAGGAGCGTTTTTCTCGCAGTGGACTTAGATCCACGAACGGCAGAGTACACTGCAGAGTCCAGAGGTTCTGCTGAGGGGGCTGGGATGTCAGTGGAGAGGGCTGCATAGCGGTTTGACAGGCTTAGGACATGGGCCACGGCGCTGGATGGCTCCTCGCAGTTCGCGGGTTCCTCATTCGGAACCGGGCGCTTAGGTGTAGAACAAGAGGGCCCAGAGCTGACAGATCTCTCCCACACGACAGTGTCACAGTATGCAGCGCTCAGTGACATAAGCCGTGAGTGCTGCCCGCCAGCGACATCAAAGAGTTTGGACACGAGTGACTGTTTATCCTGCAGCTCTGCAGTGAGGCGAAGGACTTCTTTACGGAGGTCTGCAATAGTGGCACGGTCCCTCTCACAAAGCTCCAATGTGAGGCGACTAATGTCGTTTATAGGGTTTGTGGTTATTGCAGTGTCGCGTTCCATGTCTGTGTAGGTTTAATAAAAGCTCATGACGTGGTGCCCTCGTGGTAGCCTCCGAGCTAGCACGTTTTCAGCAACACATCTTCATTGTCTCAGTTTGCTCTGGGCTCCAATTCACAATTCTCAAGAGCTTGTGAAGAAGTTTCAATAAAAAATACATTAAACTGTAACTTTAAAAAGACTTAAAAGCAGTAAAAAATCCATTAAAACGAGTTAGTCCAGAGAGAGACACTGCCTGCAATGTAGTGGATCTATTCTAAGGGGTGCACTTTCATATTGATATTTGATTGATCAAATTATACAAAGTAAATCTTTAAATGATACTAATAATTAGAAAATGTTGTCAAATCATAATCATATTAATGATAATAAAACGAGTAATGCACGTGGTATTACAAAAAACACAAGAAACGACAAGAAAAAAATGAAACAAAAATACTCTCTTTCCCCGCAGAGTTTAACACTAGATGCCACGAAGAACAGAATATTCTATGTGCATATTTTCAGATGTTCTTCGTCAAAGACATCTGCAGAAACAGCTTATGAGAGACACAGATTCCACAGAAATGTGAGATTTTCTGAGAATGTTTTTCAATATAAAAACATGCTCCTGCGTTTTTAGGTATTTTTAACAAACATTACAATAGGAAGCATTTTACAATAGTGGAGTGTTCAAGGAAAAGTCGGCTCATTTTTTCTTATCATTACAGATAAATTGCATTCACACCAATTACATCCACAATATCTTTTATGAATATTTACGGAGATATTACAAAGACATGATTCTCGTCTCTTCACAAATGAATGTGGCGTGATCTATTGTGGAACTCTTTGCACAGGACATCGAAATGAACGCATCTTTTGGGGACATTTCTCACAACACATAATACCATTGTAAAAAGGAAAGACTAACACTTTTAAATTTGTTTTAGAAGTCACTGAATAACAGACGAGTAAAATGTGTAGGTTTGTAATCTCACTGGCAAACATAAAAACGAAAACTATGGCTTTTTCCTCAGTCAATTTACATTAGTCTGTATATAGATATTTATATTATTAAAGTCAGGCTGTCAATGTAAGGATGCAGAATTAAACTGAAAACATATGAAGTGACAAATACAACATTATGTTATTGTCTATATCAGTGTCCCCCGACCTTTTTGAGCTAGATAGATCATTATTTGTCACATACAATATTATCAACACAGTCGATAACATGTTGTGAATTTACTAGTAACCAAAACATCTGTATAATTAGTTTGATTAGTTATGTAAGAGCCACGTTAAGTCAATGTTTTAAGCATGACCAATGAAGTTGATGATGCTGCACCTTGACTGGCTGATATGTACTTGTCCAATCACTGCAAAAAGTGATGAAAAATAAGTTTAAAAAAAAGTCATAATTCGGCAAAATGTATTTAAATGTCAGCGTTTTTTGTCTGCCTTAAAACAAGATTTGATGGGACAAGCAAAATCATCTTGTTTTGTAAAAAAATTTAATAAACATCTTCCTTGTAATGAGAAAATAAAGCAACAGTTCTTGAAATGGCTTTGTCCCATCTGCAATCAAGGCAGAATGTACTCAAATTAAGATGAAAAAAAACACTTGATTCAAATTATTATTGCCTCATATTCTATCATTTTTTGCAGTGCACATGTGGCATTGCTCCTTTACCTGGTTTGGAGCCTTCCGGAACAGTGCCGTTCCACATCTGATGGCTGAACTCGGGCCTGTTGTCGTTCATGTCGATCACATTGATTACGATGTCAATAGGGTTTTCGACTTGGTTGCCGTTGAGGTCCACGGCGTGAGCTCTCAGCTGCAGGTAAAAAGTGGAAAACAAATTATAATGAGACAAAAACATTATCACAGCTGGACACAGGGCTCCATGAAGCAAACGAGACGCACACAAACATACGCACACGCAAGGTTGTTTGTTAATGCAACTCATTGAAAGGACAACCGCTACTAAAACGAACCGCTTTAATGAACAACATTCAAACTGCGCACGCAGAAGAACAATTATGAGATAATCCGCTGCGTGACTGAGGGAGGAATGCGACTGTTGCAAAGGACACATTGTTCCCAGGACCAGGTCAAGTTGTGAGCGCAAAGTGCAAGACAAAACAAGAGAAAATATGTTTAGACTAACTCAAAGTCGGCCTCGTAAGCATTTTCAACAAGGCCTTCTTTTGCAAAAAAAACGGTTATTTTACAAAAGACTCCATTATTGTCAGGTCAGCACTGGGTCGTTCCATTGCAAAAAGCACTTCCAGCAACTCTAGGACTATCTAAATATACAAGAGGGCATAAAATAAGTGCTGTTTTAAGAGCAGAAATACAAAAATACAATTCATGACATAAACTGTGATCACCATTTTGTTTAAAGGCAGGTGTTCAAACTTTTTAGTAAGAGGGTCCACTTTAGTTCGGCTTGTCCAGGAGCCGGGAACATGGATTGTAAAACTGTTTTGACTTAATTTGGGCTGATCTGGGCTTTGTATATTGATTCACTCAACAGCTACAGTAGCGCCATAGCGATTCCAAAGGTTCTGAGCTTTACGACGAGGTATAGCATGACTATTGGTGGAGCTGAAGTTGGCTTAAAACAAGGAAGAAGAACAGCTAAATATAACCCAATAAACGGCAATAGGAAAATAAATCCAAAAGTAAGTAAAGAAACCAGCAAAAAGTCTACGCCAGAGGGCCACATAAAATGACACAACAGGCCGCAGTTGGCCCACGGGCCTGAGTTTGGACATGCCTGGTTTAAAGATCAAATATAATTGCATTTCATTTTGAGAATAATACATCTTTTTGAGAAAATGACCCTGTAGTATCATCTGTAATAAACAGTCCTCCCCTTGGATAAACAAAACTAGTAAGATTTATTTGTTGGATAATAGTTAGAGCAATGTTGAGGACCCTCAACTGTGTATCAAGGATTTTTATTCATTCTGTCCAATCAGGAACCTTAACAGATGAAAGAAAGGACTTTGCTGTTGAAAATAGACTCAAATGTTACTCAAACAACTCTCTCTACTTGGTATCTACAGCAGGTAAACGGGATGATAAATACCAAGTCCGACCTTAATATGGACATAATATACTGAGATCTGCATCCAGAAATATGTGATTATCTAAATAATCAGAAATGTGAAAAAAAAAAACAGAAAATCTTATTGAACTCTATAGTATTCACATATGCCACCACACACTGTAAAAAAATGATAAAATATGAGTGTGTTTTTATCTTAAATCGAGTACATTCTGACTGTCCTAAAACAAAATTGTTCCAACAAAACATTCCAAGGGAGACATTTCTAGTATATTTTTAAAGCAACATTTGTCTTCGTCCCATTGGCAAATCTTGTTATATGTCAGTCAAAATGTGATCAAATTGAGATACAGTTTGCCAAATTTGAGCAATCTTTTACTCATTTTCCATCACTTTTTGCAGTGTATCCAACATACATCATCAAGGTGGAAAGGCCCCTTATTAAACGCCCATCACATAAATCGTGTGAAGCGCAAATCCATGAGCAGATCCACCACAATGTGAATCTATGAAGCATTAATTAACGAAGCATTTCAATGAACCCTGTGTTAATTCATTCGCTGTACCAGTGCCAACATCACTTGAAATTCTCAGACAGGTCAGATCGCTCGCCGCCACAAGAGAGGGACAAATGTACAGCCTTTCCCATCTGAGTGTCACTTTTATTGCTTGTAATGAGGGAGGGTCTTTATGGAGATGGCGGTGGTGGGACTCACGTGGAAGTTGGGGATGTGCTCTCTGTCCAGGGGCTTGTTGACCGACAGCTCTCCGGAGATGGGGTCGATGATGAAGATGCCGGTGGGGGGCTGGTCGGCTCCTGGTCCCGTCACGCTGTAGCGGAGAGAGCGGTTCTTGTCGTGGTCGGAGCGGATCTGTGCGGAAGAGAGAGGAATGTGAATGGGTAGTTACGACAATGCTAGAAAAGATAAAATATGAGGTGATAATTGCTTGAATAGAGTGGTTTTTATCTTAATTTGAGGATGTTCTGACTGTCGTAAAACAAGATTTGCCAATGGGACGAAGCCATTTTATTAGCCATTTCTTATTTTACGAATTGTTGCATTGTATTTAGCTTGTCCCAGTGGCAAATCTTGTTTTAAGGCGGTAAAAATGTGCTCAAATTGAAATACATTTAGCCAAATGTTAGATATTCTGGACTTATTTGTCATTACTTTTTGCAGTGTATGTGCTTATTATCGTAACAAGGGCTATATTCTTATGTCGAATGTGTTTAACCCCATGCCCTGTGCATAAGCGATGATCTATGGGGAATCATTAAATGCAAAAAATTTCCATAGAATTCAGAAAACTTCTTTACTTTTGCTTAATGCAATGCCAAATTTTAACAAAAATGCAGCATGGTGAGTGCATTTGTGTAAGTGTCCTACTATTTCAAAATAGGAATCGCAAAAAACACTGTATAAAAGTATAAAAAACATTTTCAGAATTATTGAAAATACTTTATATTTTCACTAATATTCAAATCACATGTTGCAGGCCTCATTGGGATGATTGTATAATTCTATTGTTAGCGCTCGGCTAGAAAATCCAATTGGGCTGAACAATGGCCAACTAAAACAATGTTGATAGTTTTAATTGCAGATGCCAGTGTATGCGACCATGCTGTCGATAATTTAGCAGTCACAAAACACAAAAGCTCTTTATACTGATGCTGTGCTAAAAAAAGATTTTAAAAAAATCAGTCATAGCATGATTCAAACTGTGCTCTTATTCTGAATCCCAGAGCAAACAGCGAGTCTGCTCTCAAGCATCTAATAAAACAGGATTACATTGACTCATAGTGGTCAGTAACCTAATACCGAAGACAAACACAAGCAAACACATCCAACTTTGAACACGGGAAATGAATGGAAACAGGTGTGGTACAGTGTTTGCCCTCGAGTTGTGATAAAAAGAATTTTAAAAATAAATAAAAAAATTGCACTCGTGGTGGGGACTTTAGATGTCTCTGTGCTTTCTAAATAATGCCAGGCAACTCTGGTAACAGCTGCCTCCCTCCTTGCAAAAGGCTAGATAAATAATACAGCCCTGACCTTTGGAAAAGCAGAGTAAATATGAAGCGTTTTGTCGAAAGCGTGGTTTGCGTTGCCGCTGACCCTCGGAAAAGAAGCTCACAGGCCAAAAGGGACCTGCCTGCTTGTATAAGGAGAGCTTCTGAAGTAGAAATAGTCAAGATCTACAGTAGCATATGTGCCGGAGTGTGAAAAGGATGTTTGGTTCGAGTTTTGTTTCACAGTAAAGGAAATATTGACTTTAAAAAATACTGTAAAAACATATATTTTTACATTAAATAATCATCTATAAATGTCATGTATTAGAAAAAGTGAAGGGTAAGAATAATAACTTCCGATGATGTAAGAATTAAAGAGACTGGGTACTCATTATTTGGCCAGAATGGGGGCTATTATCCATTTACACCAATTTAGGTAATTTTGAAAAGTTCAATTACTCCATGTAGCAAGGGCTTCAAAAAATTAAAATCAACGGTTAACCCTTCAGGAGCCAAATTAGCAGCATTTCTACACCATTTTCTTGTATGCATGTCTGATATTGTTTTTTAGTTTAGTTCCAGGGTGCCCCCTTTGGTTTCTTTCATATCAAATCTTTGGAAAAAACAAATTCAGGACGGCAAGAGAGTTTACAGGGTTTTAAAACAAATGGTTAAATCCTAACCTCATGCCATTTTTGAAAGAAGTCTTGGAATGAAATTATCCAATGTAGTTTAGTGGTCATTAGTTTCACAAACCTGCCATATTATTCTTATGTATAAAAGTCTTTTGTACCGGCCAAAATCATGCATTCGTTTTCTGATGAAGGATCTCAGTCCGAAATATTACACTTGGGAGCAACACAGCTGTGCGGATTTTATCTCTTTTTTCATATTTTGAGTTTTATTTTAATCCAGCACGCTACATCGGGCAAAGTGGAACGTAGCATTTTTTGTTTCATGTCGAATGAGAGAAAATAGCTCTAAAACTAAGAGTTTTAGTTTTCAGATGCCATCCACCATAATGTTAAACTATAGATTATGTGTGTTGTGTGGATGCTCCAAATTCTTTTAAATGTAGCTACGGTTGAAAGAAATGTTGGAAAGAAAATATCCAAATGTTTTCCCAGATTTGACAGTCATTAGATTCACAAACCTGCCATATTTTTCTTATGTCTGAGAGTCTTTTGTACAGGCCAGCATCATGCACTGGTTTTCAGACCTCATACTCATACTGAGGAAGATGTGCAACTTGACGATTTTTGTTTTATGTGGAATGAGAGAAAATAGCTCTAAAACTAAGACAAAAAGATTATATTTTTCAGCTGCCCTCCACCATAATGTTAAACTATATACTATGTGTGTGTGTGCATTATGCTTGTTGTGTGAATGCTCCAAATGTACTTTCTTTCATTCGTAGTTGGTGCAGTTTACATACAGGTGTCAATATTTCACATCCAATAAAAAGCTTGGTATAAGTCTTCGTTGAGTGTCAGAATACCCCAAGAGCAACACAAGAGCATTGACCTTCATGTTATCTGTTATGTATGTTTAATGAATAAAACTAGCCAAAACATGGCAAGGCTGGATCTTTCTTCAAAATATACACACAAAAAAAACTGTTTTTCTCAAGCGCTAATATCAGTGTGTGAAGAGGGGTGCGTTTACCCTGACGAGCTCCTGGGGGAAGGGCCCTCTGGAGTTTTCGGGGACGTTGATTGGGGGGATGACCCAGTCTCGTTTCCTGCGCTTCAGTGTGCTGTCTGCGTTTATCGACGGGAACACGATTTCCTTCACATTCTGCGACGTGGAGACTTCTTGCGTCTGTGGGGAGAAAGAGACAGAACACGAGAAGGTGAGAAGAAGTTGGAACAAATAGTGTGAATAGGCTCAAATGAGGTGAGAAGAGTGTGAATCCGTCAAGTTTTACGGAATATGCATAATTGCAAAAGCAGTAAAAAACCTTAACAAAGGAAGAACCGTTTCTTCTAGAGGTGCAACGGTTCATCACTGATCCGTGATCCGTTCGGTTCAACGTCTTCGGTTCGGTACAGACGTGATCCGCGGTTTGATTTATGAAAAAAAAGTTGTGCGCACGTTGTTCAGTCCACACACAGCGCGGTCATTGCGAGCGGAGGAACGGAGATGCTTGAAAGCCCCGCGTCATTTAAATCCCCAGTATGAGAGCATTTTGGCTTCACTGTAACTACACTGATAATTAATATTCGACAAAACTGTCACGATGTGTAAGCACTGTGGACCAAGAAAGACATGAGTGAAAAAAAGCGTCTCAACGACCACCTATTGTCGCGGCATTTAAGCAGCTCCTTTACGCACAGTCAGACCGGGCTAAAGTCCACTCTCCCGCGCATCCTCAGCTGCGCTCACGACTGACGCTTGGACGTCCCGCAGAAACTATAATAGATCCATGAGCGGAACCGCTCACTTCATCACCGCAGACTGGGAGATGAAAAGTCTGGCCCTGCAGACACGCCCCCTCTACGACAGTCACACTGTCACACAGCGAAGGTACTGACACAAGCAGCGGAGGAATGGAAGACAAAGGCCCAGTACTAATATCCCAGTCACAACTGATAATGCCAAAAATTAAATAAATGCAGTGAATGAGGCTGGGCCCAGAATGGACCCCCTCCTCGGGAGAATCAGAAAGGTGGTGTAATATATGAGGGTAAATATCCTCATAAAGTGCCTTCTTATGTTGCACTTTGTGTTGTTTTTCATTAATTATGTTAAATAGACATAATTGGATGGATGGAATATGCCTTCCATCCATCCATCCATTTCCTTCCCCTTAATTCATTTCTAGGTCAGGTGGGGGCAGTCAGAGCAGGTGCCGAGTCCACATGAGCTGTGTTTATTAAAAAGACAAAACTTTTTTTTAGAAAAATGAACCGAAAAATGAACCGAACCGTGGCCTCTGAACCGAGGTACGAACCGAACCGTGATTTTTTCAAACCGTTGCACCCCTAGTTTCTTCCGTTTCTAAACAAAGGTGCCAGACTACAAACAAAAACGAAATACTGCAAAAAGATAAAAAGTCTTCACATTTCATTTAAAGATGCAGTCAGTGATTTTTTCCAGAAGCATTTTTTTAAATATTGTGGGAAAACGTCCCGAAACCCTAAAAATTAGTCAAGTTATCATGTAAAATAGTATTGGAATTGACCTGATGACTATAGTCTCCAAAAATCAATAACAAATATTTTGGAGAGGACCGATAAATACAAAACCAATGGAATTCGTTCATCCCCAACGAACCAGTGGGAGTTATCGGATTATTTTCTAAAACCTAAAAGGGCTGAACAGAAAAGGCCAATTTCACATTTGCCACCCACTCTCCCTGTTATGACAAAGAAAAGAAAATGCTGGATGTTTGGTTTGGTGGAGAGGCGAGGGGAGGGGGGAGTGGTTTCCAGTTGGTGCTACGGCTAAGCTAACAAAATCGCATACTGCATCTTTAAGTGGTGAATAAAGCCATCTGCACCATATCAGTCACATCATTAATCACTAATTAGTCATTTTTCCCCACACAAATTAGTTCATTGATTTGTGTGGGGGAAAAATGTCAAACTGTCAAAGTAATTTTACAATGACTTAATGTGCTGGTCTGCTACGATGGTCAAATGAAGCCTAACCAGACATGCTTACAGGTGAAACACAGAAGACAAAATAGCCTTTATTAGTCCCATATTCAGGAGTTTCCGGTGTTGCAAAACACATACAGGACAATATAAAAAATACATTTTTTTAGTAATATTGGCAGAATAGGCTGGTGCTATGAGACTTGGGTGGCATCTCTGACTGCCACCCCCCTGACCCAGAAATGGATTAAAGGGAAGAAAATGGATGGATGGATGGATTGGCAGAATAAATCATTAAAGTTACATCCAGCGGATATTCATTCATACAGTCAATTTCCCAGATATATATATATATTTTTTTTTACAAGCTGGGAGCCAATTATCAAAACATTAAAACAAATTAAGGTGTTATATAACTCACTTTGCGTGTAACAAAGAATACATTTGTTTTACATTGTAAGTTGAATCACAGAAATAAATGGACTTTTGAATGATATTCTAATTACCCGTGTTTCACCTGTACACAAAGGTGGCATTATCATTTAGATGCGATGCTTTCTACAGTATACTGCATCTATCCTTGTTCCATCTCCAGGTTGTACCTTTTCCCCTGCACGGCGCTTTGTAACCGTGTGACGCCTCAACCACATACTACTGACATTACTTAGCTTTATAAATGGCACCCCTTCTCCTTACATCCAGATTTTTTTTTTCTTTTTTCAAATCCCGGCCACACAGGCAGAGCGAGGCCCCTTCCATAATAGATCTGCCATCCCTCCTTCGGCTGTAATGAATGAGATCTGAAACAAAGGAGGATGCTACCTGCGAGCCAGACAATAAACTCACAGATGGCTCCAATTGCCTATGCCCGCTCCAGAGACTGAGGGCTGAAGGATGGACTCAAGTCGCGCCAAAGAAAGTTACAATAACCTTGAACAAAATGCGTCGCGTGGGCTGAGAACATGTCAACAAACGAGCGAAAACCGGTCAATGACAATGAATGACAACCTCAGCGGACGCGCTTTGCAATGACTCCGACTCCGATTGGTCGTGATGGATGCTTAACAAATTGGAATGCAAACACAGAAATTAATTACCGCTTTGCCACCTCCTAACATGACCCATATCTCGCCGCTTCGCCAACATCTGGGGAGCTGTCAGGGAGCGTTTTTCACTAATCATGTTTGAAATCCGATTATATTACTTGCAGATACGGAGTGAGGCGCGCGTAGACAGATAGCGGCGGCCTCCGAAATATCTATTACCCTATTAAAATGGACGTCAGTGAAAGCGGGTAATTATTCGCAACGCGCGTCTCAAATGATGAATGGGCGCGGCGGGCTTGCACCAGAGCGCTGGAGGTCCGCACTTTCGGAGAGCGTCTTCCATCTTGTGTCGGCGGAAAGTAGGAAAAAGTCTCTGCTTGACGGATGGCGTGATTGTTTGGAGGTGTGGGGATTACGTCTCCTTTTTAAGGGAAATTGTATTCTCCTCACAGTCTGCCGCTATTCAGGCTGCAACAAAGCTAGCGGGTGAGGGACGTGCTAATGCTTGTGACAATATTGTTTGGTTGTCATTGATTAAAATGTTTCCCTCAGGCTAGCGCATTCAGGCACTAATAAAATGTTCAATGCTTGATGTGATTAAAAGATGTGGGATGATTCGTGACAGTAATAGCCCTGCAGGGGAAATTACTTGCTTATGACCTAATAATGGTGGCAGACTTGGCAAAGGCGATCACTGGTTTCATTACAAGCAAACAAAGATAAGAGAGGATTTGGATCACTTTGACGCCTTGAGAGATTGGAAAGTCTCTCTGAAAGTTTGGGGACGGTATATTTCTTCGCCAATGACCAAGCAACCGCCTTGACAAATGGCGTCATTAGAATCACATACCTGCAGGACTGCCTAATGACTGCCAACGTCTAACGAGAGCATCCAAACACTATACAATAATAACTGGCTACAAGTTTAATTTTGGCCCAGCAGACCAAGGCAGACCGTACTGCCAGTATTAACGATATAGGAACTGTCAAGAGCGCGCTTCTAATCTTCGCCCGCGTAGAGTAGAGTACAACGCCCCGGAGATTTGCAAAATGGCCTCATAGTCACTCAAGGACGTTTATTTAAGCGTAATGTGGGGATTAAGATGAGATTGAGAATTGCCTTTGTGTAGTATAAATGATTATTCCATGAGCGCCTGCTTATAAAGAATAAGGGAAGAGCAGTAGAGGCTCTGGATGAGGAAAAACGGCAAAATCAAAGAATGAAAAAAAAAACAATACTCCAAAAAAATGCAGGGCTATTTTCACCAATGACAAGCTCATGGTCAAATTTGAAGAACGTTCGGATTAAATGTACATATTTTCAGTAATTGCTTTTTATCTTCTTCTTGGATATGAACTTCAAGGATATTGTGAGATTTTTTGAAATGGCAATGAAAAGGCCATAAGCTCTGCATTTTTGGTTTTCTCAACAACCTCAACTCAAATCCATTTATTTTTGTATAGCCCTACATCACAACAGTGGTTATTTCGGAGGACTCTTACAGAACCGTTGATTCGCACATACAGCCATTGGTCCATACGGGGTGGACGACCAAAGTCCATAAATGTTGTTGAATGTCGAGTATGCTTAGTTTAGTTTGAAGTTTATTTCCGTCACTTGTGCATTGATACACATTGTTACAGAGCAGAAAAAAGCAGAAAAAAGACGGAAAAAGTGTAGGCTGAAGCTAATGCCTACCCTTTTTAGAAGTGTAATTAGTATAAGTGAATGTATACAATAGGATTTACAACAGTAGAAACATCAAGATTCCTTATTCCAGTAGCCATCCAAAATGCTAGTTTAAACTTATTTTTGAAGTGGGAAAGTGAATTACATTCCTCTCTGCACCCATTCCAGAGATCAACCCCTCTAAGTTAGTTCTAATTGTTATCTTTATGAACACGTCTTTTCGTCTCAACTCCTCATTGTAGACAACTTCTGATATGCATTCGACTTTAGTAGGCATGTACATCAATCCTAATTTGATCTAAAGCCATCAAAATAATCCACAACAATAAGATTTAGAGTAAAAACTAACGACCGCACCATAAACGCAAACCACTTGAGAAAACTGCTAAACTGCTCGGCTTTGGCTCTCGCGGCGTGAGAAAGAACACAGAGCAGATGTCTTAAGCAGACAAGCATGTTTTATTTCCGAGTTAAAAGCTGGAGATAAGATCTAATTTGAGAAAAAGCTTTTGTAATCTATCGTCTTCTGAAGTTACAAAAAAAAAAAAAAAAACCCCAGCCTGTAGTGTAGAGAGATGCTTTTCATTTCGCCGGTAACAAGGCAGCGGCGCGTTCGTGTGAGCTCGGGCCATTATTCCCGGTCGCTCTGATCCTCCGCCAGGCCCCCTGTTGACACACACGAAAGCGCGGTCATCGGAGCTAATTGCAGATGACGAACACATCCACTGGAACCGCGCGACAGATGCTTCCAGTGCTTGCGTCGCAATCGGGCACGTCCCCTTTCGGATGACGGGGCAATAACCCTCTTTACCCGAGCCCAATGGAAAGGCTAGCGCACTCAAAATCAGCTTTTCTTTTTTTTTTTTTTCACGGTATTCCGCATCTGGTCTCGCTTTCCGCTGACCGCGTTGAGTATATGTTTGTGCTCATGGTAAATTTACACATTAAGTTTTAATTAGGGATTCTCACACCGAACACCTGCTCCGATTTGGGCGCTCAGTCGTCTGTGAATGTGTGGCAGGAGTGATGCGTGTGAGATATGGGATGAGACGTGATTTCGGTGGTGGTAAAAGTTTAAAAGAAGTAGTCCATTTAAATCTGGGGTATCCAACCAAAAGAATGAAAACTATCGTTACAAATCCATGTCACTCGTTTCTCGCTCTCAAAACAGTTTGGTTCCATCACATGCATCTATTTTTGGCCTTTTTGTCACAACTGCAGATCAGCTTTTTCACACTGAAAAGGAGAAAAAGAGGAACAGTCTTGCTCAGTCCATCATCTCTCAGCCCAAATGGTCAAATAGAGATTCACCAGACACTTTCTTACTAGCATTCAAACAAAAGATCGCAAAGATTTCTCATTAATTGGACTTTTACTAGACTGTGCTTTTTGCATGTGTATGGAGTGAGCGCTTAAAAGTGAATTGGGGACAAATTGGAGTTAAAAATACTTTCAAAAACACACTTCGAAAACAGAACGACTTATTCTAACTGCAGTATTATCAATACCATCTTTCAACAGATTTTCTATTTCAACCAAGCTCCATTTCTGCACCTGCTTTTGTTCGCAAGCTTTCAGTACGGCACCTGTCATGTTAATTCGCTTCCAGTCCCTCATCTGTCATTTCTGCTTGCTCTTATACAACCAACTGGCATGTTAGCGAGCACAGAGCATCGTATCACTGACTGACATAACAAAACCAAGTCTACAGTAGCACGTTTGGCCTAATTCATTGCAAGCGATTTTGGCTGTTGGTGTTTTGCTATTTTTTTAGACTGTGAGGCATTAAAACATATACAGTATAAGTAAGTAAGTAAGTAAGCAAGCTTTATTTATATACCGCCTTTCACAGACCAGAGTCACAGAGCGGTTTACAATTGTTATTTTTTGGGCACTTGTCCTCTCACTCCACACAGAGATGGGAGCGGGGTCGCAATAGATTGGCAGGCTGGGGATCGGTGAAACATCAAAACATAATGTACACCAGAGACTTTACCTCCACCAGGGGGTTATGTGTTCATCTGGGATTGTTATGGTTGAAAACAGTATAGATTTTGAAGGTGATCTGGAAAACCCTTTATAAGTAAGTAATGTTTATTTATATAGCGCATTTTACAGATCAAGGTCACCCAAAGCGCTTTACCTTTGGATCCATTAAATAATTCATGGAGGTTTGTGATAGATTCTAGGGATGGGCACTCCCAATATTGATAATCATACTAGCCTGGCCTGAGTAAAGGCATTTGATACATACATACTCTAGGAAGAAAGGTTTACAAAAGTACATACTGAGTACAACTGACACAGATGATTCGTCCAATATTGTCCGGGCTCATTCCACCTAGTCCCCATTCCTGCCTGGGTGTGACTACACTGTACACCAGGCATCTCCAATTCACTGTGCAGTATGACAGAAGCAGCGCCTACAGCCAGTTTGTTTGTCAACCCAGTTGTTTGCACCTTGAGCCAAAGCCAAATTCTAGTTTGCGACTTCCTGTGACTCACATTGACAATAAAACCCCTGCCAACTTTTGCTAAGATATACGTATTGTACTTAATCACTGAAGATCCTGTCTGCCTGCCCATTGCAGGACAGTTAATATCAAAGTTTAAATAAATCTATAATGGCAAGAAAATACTGCTGCTAAAGTTGTTTTCGCCATATTTTCCAAATGTGTTATCATCTATAGACATGCTTATCAGTATTGACACTATCGATCACTGTATTGATATGGATACTGAAGTCTAAACTTTGCACAGTGTTATTGGTTATAAATGACAAACACAAACTGAGCTGACATTTCACACATGTATTATCTATAAAGGCAAATACCCCTACACAGTGATCTGGATGCAGTGTGAGACAATTCCAATATGTCTTGTTTACCTGCTTGGACTGAGCAGACATCTTGACTTGTGTGGTCCATTGCTGTTTGGTGGCAACGTCGCTGGCCTTTATTGTCAAAGATGAAGACGTAGACAGCTCTAGATCCCGAACCACGTGGACTGCGCCGCCCTCTTCTATCCGGAAATCGGACGGGCTGCTGCTTTCGAACTTCACCGGGCCTCTTCCACAGTCCACAAAACCCACTGCAATACACAAGAGTAAGAGAAATGCGAAGGTTAGAACGCGATTTAAGCAAAAATAACTGTTGAGACAAAAGAATGGAGGCGTACGGACAGAAAGTAGACAGATACACAGACAGGTCTACAAAGGTTTGGTGAATCTCCTTCTCGCTCATACATTATTCACTGCAAGCGGCGCCCCAAAGGTATTGCTCCAAACAGGTGCAGCAGAGGCGAGTCGGTGGGGGAGTAAAAAAGTAAATCAAAAAAGGAAAGTACAATGCTTTGGGGCTATTAAGGGAAAAGACCTCAAAAGCGGACCGATAAATCAAAATCATGATGTGTAAACTTGTTTAAATGCGCCGTTTTGTTTGACTTCTTTCCCATTTATTTTGGCTAAGGCTTTGCGTTGTCAGCCGAGGGAAGCCATCTCATGCTAGCTTTGTCCCCGATGACATGCATGCGGATGACTACTGATCCGCGCATTCTCCTGAGACGCACAGACTTTCTGCGTGTGATGTTTATTTCATCAACACACAAGCGGCTAGCAATACTGGAAAAAATAGAGGAAAAAAAAAACAACACAAGGAGAGCAACAGCAGATAGGTGGCTCATGGGGAGGTGGCAGTCCCAATGGTGGTCCTGCTGGTTCGAGAACAGGAATGAAAGTGACGTCAGATAAACAAAAGCCCAACCAACATATTGCCTCACAGCTTTCAACATTCAAGAATGTTTTTGCCAATTGCAGTAAAACCACAGTGGAGTAACTGCTCAAGACAACCCCAGTGTGCACCAGACAGCACACACACCACCGCTCTGCTGTCGTTGTGTCCTTGGGCAAGACACTTAACCCACTTTGCCTATATGGAGCGCGGAAGTAAAGTTCGCTGCTTGCCTTGATATGTATCTGTGTGTGTATGCATTAAACTGAAATTTCCCCATTGTGGGACGAATAAATGACTTTCTTCTTCTTGCCACGGCGCCATTTCCACCGGCTATTTACATTTTTCAATATCGTTCACGCAAAATGGAGCAAACAAACTCACACACACAAACCAAGCTTATTCCCATCTACAAATATAGTAACCATACGTCATAAGAGTTACATTGAAATCTCTGTGGCTGTATCCAATTGTGCTGCTAAAACTCTGCCAACTCCCTCATTTAAAGACCTGCTTTTTAATTTTGGAACATCACAAAACATATAAAAGGAATGGGGGAAAAAAATCCTTGCAGCCAAAAAGATCAGAATGTTACAAGTTTGTGTGGAGGCCTTGAATTATTAACGACCGATGTGGAATTGCTTGACAAAAGCCTCGGAGGGGGTTCCTAATCTTCTTTTGTGCTTGCACCTTGGGGAGCACGGGTGGGGGCGATAGGGGGTCCTTTGGGCTTTGGAGCGGAGGATTCACAACAAGAATGTACAGGAAGTCTCAACTTTCTGCCGCAGGACAATATTAACAATATCTGGCAATCGATTGGTCCAATGTGCAACGCGACCTGACGAACAATAAAGCGTTTTTCTTTGTTTGTTGCTATAGCGATGGACTCAAGAGAAACGTCAGAAATGTCCAATGACCGACGTACACCCCAGCCCCTCATAAAAAAAAAACTTTCATTTCTTTTCCTTCATGAAATATTAAAATCTCGTCCTACTTTGTCAAATCATAACAGCAAGTACCAAGCAGCGTTATCAGTCTGCTTCTTCCGCCTCAAGACTTAGATGCTGAAAAAAAAAAAAAAAGAAAGCAGCGCAGAAAACTGGAATTTTATCTTGAGCAGAGCCATTTATCTAAATATTTCTAAACAGCGCGTATGCAGTGGGGTAACCTTGTAAAGCAGCCAGCAGCTCCAATAACGAAGATAGAAGATGACAAGATAGTTCCTCACCGCTGGAATGCACCATTTATTGACCATCACCTTCCTTGTTCAATTACCCTTACCCAATTAGTTTATCTTTGAACCCTCCTGTAGACAGATGACCTTGTCTTTATCTATTGTATACAGAAGCCACACTGCTGTATATTTGAATAAGAATGCATGGGTCCTATCTGTTTTTGCTCACAGGATTTCAGTTTAAGACGAGAGATATAGGCGTATGTGTTTTGCAGCGTAGGGATTATATATGGCTGTATGTAAACAAATGGTTCTGATGGTACTATGTGCGTCATACCAGGGAACAAAACATGCAACTTTGACTTTTCACAACTTTTGACTACATCTTAGTGGATCTTCCTGGCTCCTCCACTGCCACTGCAACAGCGTTCTTACTGAATCTGATTTTCAGAAAAAGTTGTTCAATTTGCTCAAAGGAGAAAAAATTCCACTGATCTGAAACATAATCCACGGTCTGAGAGGAGCCTGCGAGGCCTTGGATGTGGTCATGTTTTCGCTGACGTCTCATGAAAGGGTAGAGCAGGTCCGATGAGAGCAGAGGGTGAGCTAGTTTCTTTTAATCTATTGTTTTTGATCATGATAGAGATTTCAACTGTACTATTTACATAATAATAAGCCATATTGTATTTGACATGGTGCTTTAAACTCAGTTGTGTGACAATATTTTCTTTCATGTTATAATTAATTGGATATTAGATCTACGGCTTAAGTGATCAACAATTTTTCTCCTGATTCTGACGTCAAAGGGACTTTTTTTCATTGTTGGGGGGGATTTTCTACTAATGTGCATTTGTATTTTCAGTTCTACTCACCTATACAAATTAAGTTTAACGATTCAGACTTTTAGTGTTATCATACATAATATATCAACCTTTTTAACTTGTTTGCACAACCTGAGTGATTCTAGCTACGTACAGTTTATCTTATCTTAGGTTATTGCTGCGTTTCATTTTAATTCAGGTCTTGATTATCGCAATCCAATTTAAAATCACAATTATTCCACATTTTGGTTTTTTGTCACAGCACTATTTGAATTCATCCAATTCATAGCAAAAAATGTCAATAGTCTCCCAATTTCTAGCCACAAATGTCAGTGCACATGACCCAAAGTACACTCAAAAAGTACCAACTTCCCATTTTCTGCCCCTCTTGTGCTTTCCACCATCCATTTTTTGTGAGTGTGCAACAATGCTTTTGACAGCCCCTATCCCACTGTGACTTATTTTAGCCCTGGCCCTCTCGTCGAGTTAAGCTCCAACTCTTTAACATTGTCTGAAAGTCGACCATCGGGACAAGTCTTGGGAGAGGCTGCAGCTCCCCGGACCCCATGGCAATCGCTACACAAACTCCCAGCAGGCACAGCGGTTTGCAATGATAATGAATGGGCATGTCCAGCGTGTGTCTATTCACTTATCAGCAGCACTCCTGGGTCTTAGCAAAACACGTGAGCTAAAGCGGGCAGCTGGTACTATAGATGTGACAGGATCTGGAGATTGTTCGTTCAATTGCAATTCACTTTATGTTTTCTTGTATTGTACTTGGAATTATTGTATGTCTTGTAAATGCAAAATAAAAACTTTATAATGGAAGACAAATTGTATTGCTATGACAAGCCTTGAAACCACTGGTACACGCCCAGGCTAATTTATTCTGTACATTTATATAGCAAATATAATCTGATGAATCTGATACACAGGCATTCAAGCTTTAGAATGAAATTATTAATAGTAGTAAGGTTTTTTGCCGCAATGTCAGTATTTTTACAATAACTGAACATTCTCAATGTATTGAATAATGGGCCTAGAGTCTCATGGATACAATTATAAAAGCACACTATATCTCCTTTCAACACATTAATTACATATTCACTTTGTAAACTACTCATCAGCATATCAGATCTCAAATGCATGAAGACCCTACTATCTAGACATATGCATTCAATTATCAACACCGTCTCAAGGCTGTATGGAGTGGGGCCACACCCAATCAGACATGTTGTCATGACTACAATGATAAAGGCCTATATGCTTTGGACAGAAATGCCGATGCAGCAGGGACGTTGGGGGTTGGGGTTAGGGGAGTGAAAAAACGCAGCAGAAGAGGAGAAAAAAAAAAGGGTCGTCAGCAGAATGGCCTGTCCAACTAATGCCCTGCACCGGGGCCCAAAATTACCTCCGACTCAATGATCCTATTCACAGCCGGGATGCCACCCCCCCGTTTTCTCCTGACAAGCAACACAAAACCCAGCTAACCTCTAACCAGAGAGCCTCTCCATTGTCTGATCGATCACGTGACGGCCGACTCAGACAGGCACGAATAGTTCCAGGCAGGGAAAAGAGATACATTTCATTGGGGACCGGGAATGAAGCTGAAAAGTAAACGTTCCGCGCTCTCTACTATACTTTGACTGCCAAAAAACGGCAAGTCGGCAAAGCGGAAAGCCCCTTGCTAAATGTGCTGTGAATGTGTAAAAAGCCCCATTGACAATATGGCGTCACCATTTCTGGAAAGTGAACTCGCAGCAAAGGAATAGTCATCATGGGCGTCTCATCATTCAGCAAAGAAGGCCCCGGTGGCGAAACCTGAGGGGCCAAAGCCGCACTAATGGCACATAGTCGCACAGTGATATCTTAAAAAGTGGACAGTTGTTAAGGCATTAGCCCCTATACCGGGGACAAAGCCAAGTTGTAAATCAGGAGCCAGCGCTGAATGTCTAAACGCTTCCTTCTCATTAAGTTTCCACCGGGAGATATTTCACACAATCTGCCCAAACTATTAGAAGTATTAAAAGTTAAGAAAAGAGCATTTTGGTATGAGGTTTTTTTTTTATGGCTGCAAGCTTCAAATGACATTCTAGCTATGTAACTGTTTTCGAACAAGGAAGACAAACCAAAGATATGAGAATGAGCAGAGGTCAACAGTTTTGCTAGCCAAAGTTATCAAGAAAAAAAAAAGTGAATTCTGGAAAAATGCGCTTGTAACCTTTTTGTCTGTTTCATAAATACATGTTTGTCCAACAGAAAGTATTGTGCAAGTACCATGTGAACAAATCAGGACCCCCACTTCCTTTGGCGATAAGACTTTACAGTATCCGAGTTAAACATGTTCACTTGATTTCTATAGTTAGT